CAAATATCAGAAAAACACACTTTGAGAAATTTATTCAGTAAACAGCATAACAAAATCATCCATGATTCAATGAAAATGGAAAATGGAAAATGAAAAAAAATGGAAAAAAATAGATATGTGACATTTGTGTAATAAAACTGCAACAAATGAAAAAAATTTTGAATGTTTTTATTTGATCACTTATGACAAAGATCACATTTCAAGGACAGTTGATTATGTTGATTCATTCAAGTAAACACATATTGCTATACTCAAATTTATAGTCATATCTCGCAAAATTTAATGCTTAATAATAATTCCAGTGGAAAAATTGTACTTTTATAACACATTCACGTCACTGAAGCACATTCACACGTTCCTGCCAATCGTTGTTGCATAGCATTCCAATTGATATCCGTTATCAGTGTTGTTATCACTACGTCAACACACCTGTTGATAATTCATTACGTCGGCTATGTCGATCAGCTTATATTGTCGCATATCATTGGCATTTTCGTTTGATGTGGATTGTTGCGGTAATCGTTGTGCCTTGAGGATTGGCTATAAATAGGAATGCTTCAGTTTGCGATGCACTAGTAACGGCTCATCATGTGCGTTGAATGCAGACGAAGCAAACGATGATGCCAAAGACTGGTGCTGTGAATGCCGGCAGTCTGAGGTTGTGCCGAGCACGTCTGAATCCGTGTTTGACACCAACTCCACGTTATCAAAGCTGGAGATCGAGCTGGATCTTGAGCCATGATTTGACCCTAACTTCTCGGTTTCTGAGTCTGCATCTGCTATGGAGAGCGATTCTACCACGTCATCATTTTTCGCATCATCCACCGCAGTCGTTAAATTTGTCTGAGAAGGCTCAGTCCCAGTGGTAAGACTTGCTTCTTCAGTAGTAGTATTCGTAGAGGATGAGTGATTCGTTTGAGAACGTTTTAATTGTGGGTTCCGTGGCTAAATTCGTTTATTTTAAGTGCTCAACAGATATTTTCACGTTGGAATTACTTCATCTGATTT